GTTTTAGACAAGGATATCAAGGAGTTGAAATGAAGCTGGTTGCTGTTTTGATCTTTGAATCAGCTGCGGTTTCCAAACATCCAGCTCTGCATCTTGGCTGACCTTATGTAGAAAGACTCAGAGCTGTTTGGCTTTATGCAAAAGCCTAAGAAGATATTAATGTGATGTGAAGTGGATCAGGTGGTGATATGTGCCTTGTAAAAGTGAAGATACAATTTTTGTTACTATTGGACCAAAAACACTAAATGGAGCTAAGAAATATTGAGGAGGCCACTCATGTTAGAGAGACAATTGGTCGGGGGAATTTGCCAGCCTGGGATTCTGTGAGGTGTGTTTGCTGTGGTTTGCTGTGTGCTGATCTCTTCCTAGGGCTTCCTAAGGACCTTAGTTCCTCCTTCATAGCCAAACATGGTGAGCAACAGCTGAACTAACCTGAGTCTCATAAATCAAGCTGCTGATAGGATATTTTCAGGTTGTTATGGGCAAAGTTTTTCCAGTTTTTCAGCAGCAGCAAAGTACAAGATTCTTTTTGGTTGTTTTTACGGATTCACAAATTTAGTGTATCCCTGGCAAAATCAGATGTGTAAAGTAGAGTACTGGGTATATGGTTGAACTGAAATTCTCCATAAATTTGAAGAGGATAGATGAAGAGGTAGTGCTGCAGAACCTGAATTGACTTTAATTTCTGAGACAAAAAAAATAGCTGTATGCAGGTCATGGCTGCAGGTGTATCTGTTTCCTGTTTGAGATGGAGAGAAAAAAATATCTTAGGCCTGTCAGAGGGATGTTTTGTGTAGGTGAGTCAACTGGTCAACAGTGGGAATGTGTTAGCGTGCTCAACTTATCACATAACCCAGGAAATCTCACCTTTGCTGTGCTGAAGAAGCACTGATTTTGCTAATAAGTTGAATATAATTGTCTTTCTAACATCTTATGTTAGTCTAGTGTAAAGGTAATGCTAGCTCCTTCAGAGAACACTCATTCTCTTCTTTAATTTCTTCATACCTGTTATTTGTTAGAGCTGTCTGATTAAGAACTTACTAAGCATCCTAAATCCTTCAAAATGTTGTGTCAGCATGTGGTATTCAGTGAGTCACAGACCTAACTGTATTATGGCTGGTGCAGGGAGGAAAAAAGGTAAGGCTTATTTAAAATAAAATGGTAAGGCTTGTGTTTGTCTTCAGAATTTTATGTTATCTTTACTGCCTTCCCTGAGAGTGTTTAACAGTTGTAATAAAGTAGGAGAAAATCTTGTAGGAAAGCAATTAAACGTGTGTTGTGTTTAACTGCTAAGGGTTTACTGAAGCCTTTCTGAGAATAAGTGTGGGGTTGTTTTTCATTTCAGTTGATGCTGATGAGATAAAACGACTAGGAAAGAGGTTTAAGAAGCTTGATTTGGACAACTCTGGTTCTCTGAGCGTGGAAGAGTTCATGTCTTTACCTGAATTGCAACAGAACCCGTTAGTACAGCGAGTAATAGATATATTTGACACGGATGGCAATGGAGAAGTGGACTTCAAAGGTAAGGCACAGTGCTCTGTGACAGGGGGTGGCACTTTAACAGAACCTCCTGGAGCTTCAGAACACTCCAGTTTTTCTTCAGCTGAGAAAGGAGGGGTGAAGAAAACTTATTAATCCAAATAAGGTGCTAATTCCTCGTGGAACTAAATACCAGTAGAACTAGTTTCTCTGGTGCATTAGGGCACTCCTGAATGAAGTGCTTAAAAGAGCAGATTGTATAGTAATAGCTTTCAAGGTCATGCTGATTTAGGGCTACTCATTAAATATCTCTTAAAGTGCTTTAGTTCAGACTCTTAATTGTGATGCTGTCTGAAAAAGGTGGGGTAGGCTGTGTAAGTGGTGTGTCTGTGCATTAGTTGTACTTATCCAAATGAAATCTGTCCTTAGTTGGAGCATTTAGAAAATAGAAAGGGGCCCAGAATTTTCTGTTCATGCTTCTTTTATAGGATTCTTTTTAGGTAGATCTTAAAACACTTCAAGTAAAAAAACAAAAGTTTTGATTTAGTACATTGCTCAAAATTTTAGACTTAATTTAAATATTCATGATTAAAAGGGCCAGCAGGTTATAATTTTCATTACTAGTTTGTTAAAACAGCCTCTGACCCTTAGAAGTGATAATATTTGTAACTTCTATTCAAGCTAATACTCGGTATCTCTTGTTGCACATGACTGGAAAAGGTAAATTTCTTGAGTTTTTTTTTAATTGCAGAAAGTTCTTTAATCTCATTTATAGTGACAGGCTGACATTTTAAATAAAATATTAACATACAAGAGCTGCTAACCTTTGCAAACCCCCTCAAATTTCTACAGGGATTAACTACAGGGTAACTGGAATGTTGAGTTTTGATCAAAAGCAGTCATTGTGGTATGGAACTATTCAAAATCTCCTTGTGAAAAAATAGGCAGTGATGAAAGATGATGCTTTATTGTCTGTGACATTGAGCTGTGATTAATACAATTATCAAGAGCTGCTATACTTGGGAGGGAACAGGAAGTTGTCAAAATCAATTTTCTTTTTACCCTATTTCTTAGAGAAAAGTATTTTTTTACCTATTTCTTGTAGAGCAGCTTTCAATTTTAGTGTAATTCTTTATTTGGGAAATTAGTTTTGAGAGGAGCTGTACAATTAAAATCCCCGATGGAGTGGATTTAGTAGAGAACTTGGAGTTTTCTGTCAGCTTCTTCTGTGAAAGTCCAGCAACAAAATTACTAAAATTCTGGTGTAACCAAGTCTATTCAGTGAACACAATATTGCATTTGGGGTACTTCCCACTAAAGAATATTAAAGTATCAAAGTATGTGGACACTTAGGTGTCACAAGGTAGACAATATTTTGAAGATTTTATGGTAATTTAAATTCTTTGAACAATTTCTAAAAATTTCTGAATGTTGATTTCCTTGATTTATTAAATACTACACTTTTGTATGTGTTTTTCTTGCATTATTTAGAATTTATAGAAGGAGTCTCCCAGTTCAGTGTCAAAGGAGATAAAGAACAGAAGTTGAGGTGTAAGTATTTTAATTTTTCCTTAACAAAAATTTTTTGATCCTCAAAAACTATAGTTGTTAGGTAAGATTGAGAAATCATCAAATCTGGATTCTTGTAAAGAGTGAGAAATCTTTCATGAAGGTAGACTGTAAGATTTTTGCACAGTTTGTAATTTTTTTTTGTGTGGAGATTTGCCACACTCTTTTCTGCAGGGAAGATTGGAGGAGGTTGCCTTTTGATGAACTTTTGATGAACAGTAACTGAAGTTGCTTCCTGTTTAAAAAAAAAAATTAATTTAAGAATAGCTTGCTACAGAATTTTGTGAACTATATGCTTTGCTTTATAGGGCCTAAGAGTAATATTCCAATTTTTGCTACTACTGTAGAAAAGCATTAAATTGATGTTTCAGAACTGCATCTCAGCATCCAAACTTTTGAAGTAGAAAAGGAGTAGGTTCTGTCATACATGTAGCTTCCAATAACTAAGACTGAAATGTTTAAAAATAAATCCAGTCTTGATGCCAAATTGTTTGCAGCGGAGGAACCAGGTAGGATTTTGATTCATCTGTTTCCTGGAAGGTTGTAATTTTTTCTACTTGCAAATGAGCTGCTGCTTGGGTGCTTTACTTGTGGTGGTGGTGATTTTCCTGTTTGATTTTAATGGAATCCTTGTACTGCTGGTGCCTAAAACAATTTCAGTTGATATTTCTGAAGTGAGTATATTGCTCTTTTCTGACCACATTTGTCACTGAATGTTTTTTATACATATATATATATATTTTTTTTTTATTTCTGCAGTTGCTTTTCGCATTTATGATATGGACAAAGATGGCTATATCTCAAACGGGGAGCTCTTCCAGGTGCTGAAGATGATGGTTGGGAACAATCTCAAAGACACTCAGTTACAGCAAATTGTAGATAAAACCATAATTAATGCAGATAAGGATGGTGATGGAAGAATATCCTTTGAAGAATTCTGTGCTGTAAGTAACTTCTAAAGAAAACTCGTGTCATTTATAGGGAGAGGAGCCCCTCAACTGCTGCTCCTGAAAAAGGGCAGACAGTTGAAAGGTGCATTTTAAGAACTTTGGGGTTTACAGAGCAGAATACATGAATGTACCACATGAGACTTGAAATGGTTGATTTTCACCCATGTGGCATATTTATTTAATTATTTGACAGCAAGTTTTAAATTCTTTCTTCAGAAAAAGGAAATGAATCTTGAACATTTGCAAATTGCAACAATGAGCGTTTAGACATTAATTTGAAATGAATGTTAATGAATATACACCTCGTAACACAGTTTGGGAATTGCTTTTTTTTCCTACTCTTTGAATTTACAACTTCAGTTCAAACATAACTTTTTCATACTCAATGTGAGTTCTAAAAAAGAGGGGGGGAAATCTGCCATCCCTCCAACTATTAAAGCAAAAGGGTTCTATTGGTGGCACATTTGAGGTTTTTTTAAGTTATTTTTCTGACATCATGTAAAAAACACATAGTCATCTGCAAAGATCTCAGAGTCACAGCCTGCAGAGACCTGGATTACTGCATTATCTGTTTTCTTGCACTGGGTTATTGTCTTCCAGCCATCCATCAAGTGATGTTGCCTTTTGTCCTTGGGCTTCTGCCCAGGTTTCCTGTCTTGTGCTACTGTTAGGTTTTCTTCTTTCTTTGAATTTCATCAGTTTTTGTTGACCTGACAAGAGGCTTTTCACTTTTATAACCTCTTATCCTCTTGTTCTTGCATTTTACCTCCTCTGAACCTTGTGCCATCTGTCTGCAAAAATACATTTTCATTTATTGCATTTGGCAGGTACCATTTGGCTTTTGAGTTTCGTTCACACGTTGTAAGACGTTCCTCTGACATGGCACCTTTCCTTCTCCCTTTGCATTGCATGGATCACACCCTCATGAACACTGGTTATTTTTTTCTGGGTGTGTGCAGTTCTGTCAGAAATCCTACTGCTGTTCCTACGACCCTTTGCTACTCATGGAATGATGCACAGTTTTATAGGGAGTTTTAGAAGTCTAGTGAGCATTTTATTTAACATGCAGAAAAACAGTGCACGGTCAGAATATGAGCTGAGGAGGAATGCCAAAATGGTGTCATTTACACTGGTTTTCAGGTCTTTGAGTGTGTAAATTGTGCTCATATTGAACGACTTTGGTTTGTACATAATTCATTTCTGTCCCTCACAGTACTTGTGAAATGTAAATCAGTGTGGAGAGGCCAGGGAAGTACTGTCATTATGATTGACCTGAATGCATCTATTGAATGTGTTCTTTGTACGTTGCTAACTTTCAATTCTCATGTCTCTGAACCTTATTTTTCTCCCAGGTTGTAGGAGGCCTAGATATCCACAAAAAGATGGTTGTAGACGTGTGACTCTGTAGGGCACCACCCAACACTTTTGCTTTCTTCTCCATCTCTGAAGATCTGCTCCAGACGTCCAGCAATGCTCTCTGTGTATTTAAATGGAAGTATTTTTCTCTGTGAAGCCACATTTTCCAACATGAGCCTCATGAAGCCAACTAAGTGTTATTGAACTTTTATTCTCTCAATAACTCAGTGTAGCACTTTAAAGTCTGAAGGACAGCAAAGATGGAAAGAGCATATCAGTGTGGCGGAGAAAGGGAAGGGGTTGGCTTTTTAATTTATTTTTCTTCATCTTTTATAACAAGGAAATATCTATCTATATATATATATGTGTGTGTGTATTTATATATAGATATATATGTAGCTTTCTATATGTAGTAGCTAGGTGGGCTTTAATTTAATATACTTGATTCAGAAACAAAACTAGAGTACAAAGTGCCAAGCAGAATATTAACAGTTCAATATATGGATATACATCCTTACTTTTATTTCACACAGTTTTATATATATAGTAGAAGAATGTAAAATTTTAACTGGGTGTTAGGTCAACTCTTTTCCTTTTCCTGTGACTGTTCAGATGTTTCTATATATTGACTGGCTGACAAAGCATCGCTTCTTATTAAATCACCTTAAGTACTTTTTTTTTTTTTTGTAACACAGGAGACTAAGTTTATTTATACCTGTTAATATATTACCAGGGACTGTGTCTCTTTGCTAAATAACTTAGTACAGTTCTACTTAATATGAGAATATAGTTTAATGCTACTGCCAAGAACTAGTCCTCGTGTGCATATAGTGACTGCGGAATGCTTTGATGGCCCTTAAGCTTCGTCACCCAGGAATTGGGAGCAGTTACAGCTGTCCTGAAGCCAAGGCACATCTGCTGTTCTGGGTTCAGTTTAGATACAGCTGCTCAAGTTGTTAGATGCATTCATGATTTTCTCTTGTGCTTAGCTTAAATGAAATTAGGATCAACATAACTGTGCAGGATTCCCACCTACTTATTTTATACAGTACTTAGATTATAAAATGTTCTCGCCATTTAAATTCTGTTGTTTCAACCATGATAGTTTCCCCCTTGCATTTAAAAAAATACTACAGGTAGCATAAATAACTGGTAATATTTTATATATATATGTATATAGGATTCATACAGGGGGGAAATCTTGTTAACCTATGCCATAGAGGAGGAAAACTTCACACTATCTAAATTTATACCTCTTGCAGTTCTCCAGTCCTTTGCCTGGAGAATGTTTTTCTTTTCTAGATTTGTCCATATCATAATTTGTAACGGAAGGTAACTTGATATATTTGTGTGATATAAAAGTAGCGAGCCATGTTTTACAACTTTATATCATCCCTTCCCTTTTCTGCAGTGGTACTATTGGCTGGAAGAAAAACATTTGCTAGATTTTTTTAGAACAGTACATCTTTCCTGTATAGTAGTTTTTCTATTAAAAAAAAATTGTTTTATAATGAGCAGTGGAAAGTGCAGGTTGTCTGAACCTCTTCAATCGAGCACCTGTCTGCCATAGCTGTTCCTTCAACTGAGTGCTGCACATCATGGGCTCTGTCTGTGAGAGAGAAATCCAGGTGCTTGGTGTCCTTGCATGACATGAAGTTTTGCATGTAGATCGATTTGAAATGTTCCTCTTGTTTACATAATTTGCATAATTTAAAAGATAATGTTGCCAAACTTTGGTAAATGTTAATGTTCAAAACAAAAATCTCCACTACATGTAACTTTTTTCTTCCTCTGGATCAGTACGTGGTTTATAATCCCAGCCAGTGGTTGTATCTGTTCCAGTGTCAATTGCCATGTGCTCTGCTTCAAGGGGGAACTAGTCTTTTGTGAATTTTTTGTACATAAGTATTTGTTACAAACATTTTAGCAAATGCTTTCAATTTCTCTTGCTTGTGCATATCTTGGCTGGCATTATAGAAATTAGTGCTAATGTTATTTCCTTAGGGGGACTGGAAGGGGAGGGATGAGGTTTTTTTTAGTTTGTGTGGGGAAAAATGATTTATGTTGAATGTTTAGTTTTTCCTCTGCATGCTACATCATATGTTGTGGGAACTATAAGAACCTTCATACTATATGAATACAAAATAAAATATTTGAACCTTGGCTGGGGTGCTTCAGTACTTACACAACCTTTCCTGTTCACCTTAAAGCAGCTCTGCACACTGATCTAAGGAAAACTTGTTCACAGTTTTTTGTCTGCTCTTCCATTGTGAAGATTTACTGAAAAACTCTACAGGGTGCACAGTCCACTGAACACTTCCAGGATTTATTTCAGTGTTTCAAGACCACTTACATTTTGGGGATTTTCAAAGGCACGTTGTTCTCTTTGCTAAGTGTCTAAACTGGCTAAAAAACTTTGAGATCCTTGTGTTAAGTGGAAGGTGGCTTAAAAAACAAAACAAACCCACCCTACCATTAATGAAATGGAGAACGAAAGGCAGCTCCTTTCTCAGGGAAAGGTCTGAGCCTTGTGCTGGTGACACCAGCCCTCCCTGCAGGGGTATGTCATTCTCAGAAGCTCTGCTGTGCTCTTTGGGGTGCAGGTGTTTGGGCCTTCTGAGTGCTGCCCTCTCTTTTCTGCTGATTTGGGTTGGGATTAATATGCACCTGATTTAGGATAAGCAATAATTTTTGTGTGTTCTTGCCTTACTCTCCCTCATCTTTCAAGCTAATTGAGGTAAATGCAGATGATGAACAGAAGATGTGCTGACCAGGTGTGCACACCTGGAGCTGCTCTCCCCTGTACAGCTTGGACTGCTGAGCACTATAGATTTAGGTAACTCAGCAAGTCTTAAATCTGTTAGCAGCTTAAGACTTGAATCAATTTGGTTGTAGTGATAATCCCATACTGCAAAGTGCTGCTCTGGAAACTTGGACATTGAGTGAAATGCTGACTCTGTTTGTTTGTGTGTTTGATAATCTCATTTCAGTTTTTGTTTTCATTCCCAAGCCTGAACTGAATTATTTTGCCAGAGACTTGGCAACAAGGTTGGCAGGTAGGGTTAGGAGAAAAGGGCCCATTTTTAAGTCATACTGGGACTGGCCTCTCTAATCCCTCCCTCTACTCTTGTGTGCATTTGGTATTTTAAGGAGGAGACACAGGACTTTCCAGTTGTTTGTGCTCTGGTACACTGGCAAGCACTAAACCTAGTGGCTCTTGGCTTCACTAGGCTGTCCTTACAGATCATTTTCAGGAGAATTATATAATTTATATATGTGCAGATTCAGGATGAACTGCAAATACCTTATTTAGCTCTGTGTCTTACTCTTTCCATGTGATGCATTGTTCCAGCAGCAGCAGAGACTTGGTGGGCAGCCTGCCATTGAACTCTGCATTCCAGTTGACTCTTCCTTTTTCCAGGAGGATACCAAACTGTGATTTAAACACTTAACTGTGCCGATTCCTTTAGGCTCAAAACATGAAACACAAAGGCTTTCTGAAGTTCTGACAGCAGCCTCTTAAAACTTTGACGTTCCAAAAATCCGTAATGAAGTGTGTTTTTGTTGGAGGCTGTTCAAGTAAAATCATGTACTTGTGCTTTTGATATGGACACAACCAACTTAAAATACCTTTTAATAATTATACAGAGACATTGTGTATGTTCAAATCACACCACACGTCTGAAGGCAGTCAGACTGCAAAAACAGTCCCATTTTTCTTCTGGGCTTCCAAATCTAGCAGAAGAGCTGTGGCTTCTGTAGCTCCACGCCTCTCATGTGCCCTGGAAGCAGAACTCCTGTGTGTCCAGGAACCTGGACTCCCAGCCCCAGTCCTTGGTGGTGCAGCTCAGAACCTCTCAGCTGCTCTGCTGGCCACTGCTCTAATATTGCCATAAACTTTGGAAGGAGGACTTCCTGCAGAAGAAAGGACAAATCCAGTCAGCAAACAAAGATGATCCATGTCACGAAAATGGATGTTCTGCTCTCACACGTGTGCTAAAAGCAGAGAACTAAGCCCAAGGGTGAGAGGGATGGTCAAGGTCAGTCACCCTGTCTTACTGCAGGTGCAGAGTTAAAAACTGCTGCTGTCAGGGTGAGTTGTCCCCTTTGGCTTTCAAGACCCCTCAGGGAATGCTGCAGCTACATCAAAAGGCAGAACATCTTTCTGCCCCATGGAGAGGGTTTTGGAGCCAGAACGAAGCCCTGGACTCCTGACTTCCCCCCTCCAAAACTTTCTCTTAAGGGCATCAAGCCAACTGCCAGCAAACTACCTGCTCCAAGTGCAGGTATGGACAGGTCAGGAAGAAGGTAAGAGCCACAAAGCAGTTTCTCAAAATGCAAGATCTATTTATATGTAGTAAAGAAGATTAGATAAGAAGACTTACCTAAAATTAGATTGCAAATTGCTGTTCGTGCCATTTTAATGTTCTGAAAAGATCCCAAAATATGAATTTTTCTGTAAAAAGCAAAGTAGCCTTAAGTTAATGGAAAAAAACCTCTGTGATTAGAGAGTTAATAGAGAGTTGGAGGTGAGAGATGAATGTGAAATTCTTTATCAGTGGACTAGTTCCTTTTCTACATTTGTAAATAGTAAAAAAAAACCAACTGAAGCCCAGAAAATCTACATCATAAGACTTGTGCTCCTCCAAATCCTTTAAAAATAGATTTTACAATTTTGAAATTTAACAGTGTAGCAGCTTCAGGAGGAAAAAGTTGCTGGGTTGGTGAGTTCAACTTTGATTATTTGTAAGAAGGAATTCTTACACTGTGGGGAATGACTGAATTCTAAGTGTGCTGGTGACTGTCATTCTCATAACAAAAGGTCAAATAAATACTTGTGTTCATTAAAAACAGCACTTAATTTTCTTACTACTGCTCTGCAACAGTTCTAAAAAATCCAAATTATCTTTGTTCCTGGCAGGGGACACAGATGAGCTGAGGGACTGTGTTTTGAGCAGGAGGAAGTGAGTCTCTACTTACTGGTCAGCG